CCAGCTCAGGGCCACGGGGAAGGAGCATGCATCCCCAACAGAAAGGCAAGCTTCAACCCACGGATGACACGCCAGGATTCAGGCCCTGTGTTACTAGTCCTGATTTTCCAAGAGAGGCTATAAATCCAGTTTAAGTGAAACCTCCTGATTCAGAAGTATGGGCCACGAATGCCCCCCCCCACCCAAATCTTAAAAGACCAAGTGGTGATTCATTCAACAAACAAGTATAAGGAGGAAAACATGAAGAGGCAGCCACAGCTTAAGGAAGATCAATGGCAATGAGTGGACATTATAAGGACCTTCATTTAAACAAACTAGAAGAAAAGCATATTCTTATACACAATGTGACAAGAAGTCTCTACATTTTAGAGAGACGTACTGAAACTTTTTCAGATGAGATGGTATGTCTAGAAATTACTTCAAAATAACATAGGAGGGAGAACTGATGGGGCGTCAATGAAACAAGATTGGCCATGAATTGCTAATTGTTGAATCTGGGTAAACAGCATTCATGATACTATTTGTATATGTTTATATTTCAAAAATAAAGGTTTCTTTTAAAAAAGAAAGAAAGAAAGAAAAAAAAAAACCACCAGTAGGCCAACCAATCATGTCTGTGAGCCAGCATCTGAACTTGGATGGCCACTTTACAAACTCTGGATGGAGGGAGCGGAGGTGGGCAGTAACGCATGAGGCTCGCACCAGGGGTTAGGGCGTGCTTTTTGAAAACCCATGTTCATTATTATGATTTAATTTTATATTTGGAAACCTGAAGAGGAAGAAATATTTTTTTTCCCATGACACAAGTTACAGAATGATAACATTTAACAAAATCTTAGCTAGAATGGTCTGGTTTTAAAAGTTTGAGTAACACTTCTTGCTTCGTTTACTTGTTATGGTTAACAAGACTATTTTAATCACTAAAACCACTTCAAAATACTTTTCCCCTGATTTCTTTGTTATTCAGAGTGGCAGTCAGTCTTTTCTAAAGACCTCATTCATTTGTTCATCCAATAGTCCATATAATAATGAAGGCTATCTGCCAAGCACCCTGCTGAGCTCTGAAACACGGTGGAGGACAAACAGTCACAGGCTTTGCCCTCCAAGGCCTCACATTCTAGGTGGGGACATGATCAACAAGGAACCCACCAAAGTATGAAGACCTGTATTACCTGAGTGATAAACACCAATTTTATTTGCTTTTTTACTTAGCTGTAATATATAACAAGAGGATTTTTTAAATTACTAAAAGTTATTCAAAAATATTTTCATGACTGTGCTTTTAAAACTCCCAGTTAGTTTCCTGTTCTATACAGTGATTTCTCACGGAAACCTTACACATTCAGCATCTGAGTAGCACCCAGGTACCGTGATCCCCGCTGCACACACAGCAGTGAGGAGGGCAGGTCCATGACCCGCCTTCTTTCAGAGGCAGCGAGGAGCTAGACAACCTGGGGTTCGAGTCCTGGCTTTGCCATTTAACTGCTATGTGACTTTGGTCATGTTTCCTAGCCCCTTTGTGCTTCAGCTCCCTTCTTTGCTAAACGGCGGGTAGTAACAGTACATTGCACCCCTTACAGGTTGTATAAGGGCTAAGTGAGAGAACGTGTGAAAAGGAACTTAAAATAATAATCTGTCACATAAGTAAGCCCACAAATCCAAGAGCTTTTCCATGGAGCTTATGTTCTAGCTGGAGAAGTAGACAATGATGGGTTTTTAAATGCCCTTTAAATCTTCGAAAGCATGCGAACTTCTGAGGGAGAGAGGGGAGGAGGAAGAAACGAAGGAAGAAGGAAGAAGGGGCAAAGAAAAAAGGAAGGAGGGAGGGGAGAAGACAGGAGGAAGAGGAAAGGATGGAGGGATGGGAGTGGAGGAGGCAGAAAAACGGAGAAGGGCCTCATCTGCCCATCCCAAAGACACGAGCGTATCACCCGCACTCAGGTTTACACTTAATCCGGTTCTGTGCACCTGGGGATCTTAAATAAGCTCACTAACGAACCAGGAAAAGACGGGGAGGGCGCGGGGAGG